CGATTGAATTTCATCCTTTTTGTGCTGAATACTACTCTAGTGTACATGTATACCATGTTTTCTTATGTGTTCATCCACTGATGGACACTCAGGCTAATTGAAGTTGATTCCATATCCTGACTACTACGAATGTGCTCGCCATAAACATTTAAGGTCACAGATACACTAGTTACCCTTCTTTGATAGTTCCACAATGTATACATGAATATACCACCTCATTGTACCTCATAAATATATATAATTATTATAAGTCCATCAAAAAGAAATGAAATGAACAACATTTTTCAAACATAATACATGTAATCAAAATACAAAAGTTGCAATGAACCTTAGGCAGAACAAATGCAAAGACAACCAAAACTGCTTAGGTGCCATCAGGAAAGTTCTACACAGCAAAAGATCTCCTCCAGAAATCACCAGCCTTTCTGGAGTGAAGTTGACATTCCACGGTTCTCCAGGCCTTAATCGGGACATGGCTGCTTGGCATCTGTCTAGGTTTCCAGGACAGGGGACCATACCATATGACACTATAGTGGTGGACACATGTCCTTTATATTTGTCAAACACACAGAATTCCTAACACCATGAAAGTATTCCAATGTAAACTATGAGCTTCCAGGTCAATGATGTGTAAAGGCAGGTTTACTGATCGTAACAGAAACATCACATAAATGCAAAGATGCTAAAAAGGGGAAAGTGTGTGTGTGCATGTCACACATATGGAGAAGAAAGGCAGACAAATCCTCTGTACTTTCTGTTCCAACTTAAAGACTCATCAAATGAAATCTATTAGTTCACTAAATTGTTAATGCACAGCAATCCCAACACTGGCCTCATGCTGGTCTTTCCATCTCAAATGCTTAGCAAGAGCAGCAGCTCTGCTGATACATCCAGCTGCTATACCGCACACGGACTGGGCTCCAAGGCCCAGTGTGCCACCAAGGGAAAGGGTCATGCAAGAATCTTCATTCCGAGATCTCAGCAAGCGTCAGTTAACCTGCCATAAACACGAGCAACAACTAATACATTCGCCACTAGAATCTCACAAAAATTAGATGAGGTTGACAGCACAGAATTAGTACTGGAGCATAATTTTTTTCTTTCCTTTCCTAAAAGACAGATTAAAGTAAATATTTAAAGGACAAAGTTCTGAGCTAACCTGCAAGCAGTCTGTGCCACCCTGAAACAAACCATGGAGGATTTCTACGGGAGCTCTGAACACATAGGTATGTCACAAAGATGCCGACGGAGAATGATAGTAAAGCTTTCTGTAAATGACTGTCCTCTATATCCCATCTGGCCCGTGCCTGGGTAACTAAAATTACTGCAAAGCACTAAAGGTGAAGAAAACAAAGTCAATCTATGACACAGTGGATTGAAATGCAATTCCATTTTCATTTAACATGAAGAAGGTCTAAAACTGAATCTTCAGGATTAATGATGTCAATAAAAAGCTGGGATAGAGAGGGAATATGAGGAAATGGCCATTGGCTTTCCTCATTTATTGATTGTTAATTGGCTGTTTGGGGAGAAATAGAATCTTATGAGATACTAGCTTTATGGCCAAAACCCAATAAAAATCACCTCATCTCTAAAAGGTGCTTGTTTCTATAATATATTCTTCACACAGTAATTTATTCTTTCATTCTTTTTGGTTTGTTTGTTTTTCATAGCTCATCCAATCCCAATACCCACTTACAGTCAGCCCTTGACTTTTGAATTCTTTCTCTGTTGTTGTAAGGTCCAAGCTTCACTTTTGATGATTTACATTTCTTAAACTGTGTCATTTGGCTTCACAGCCACAGTGGGTGCATGTGAAAAGCCCAGCACTGTGAGCAGCCCTCTAACATTCTGACTTCTGAGCACAGAGGTAAGAAATCCTCAGCCTTCAACAGCAGTACGGAGGTCTGTGCCTCTGCAGTTCTGGGGACCTCCCAGAGCGTCCCCAAGATCCTCCCTGTCGGGGCTGGACAGCTCTGTGCAGCACTGAGCTCTAGACATCTGATGCATCCGTGGAGCTGCGTCTCCAGACCAGAACACCACACAGTTCAGGGTGTCTCGGCCTCACACAGCCCAGTGTCTGACAGCATATTTTGTGGATGAACGAAGAGAGACAGAGTCACCCACAAAGAACATAGGAATTATTTATTAAATGTGTGTTTATTCCTTTAAACAAGCCCCTTCACGCCGCTTTGTTACTCTAAGCTGAATAAGATTAGTATATGTATTCTTTTCCTCATGAAACTAGACACAGAATGGACCTAGAACAACTTCAGCTCTGCTGAAAACTGATGATAACGTGTCACTCCTGAAAGGAACCAAGCTGCTATGCTGATCTGGTGTTTCCCAAACAGCTACTTCAGCCTCACAATAGGCAAGCACGTTGACTGGCCCACTCTTTCCCCATCATAGAGAAAGAGTCTGGGAAGTAAAACATTGGAGCTAAATGGAATTTCAGGACCTTCAACCTAATTTCTTTTTAAATAAGTATTTTAATTGAAACTTTCATGCTCCAATCTCTATTTAAAAACCCAGCCCTGATGACTTGCTGCATCTGCTTTGGATGTGTGTGCATCAGAAGCTCACAGAATATTCTTTGGTGCTGAAGGGCTTACAGTGCCTCAGGCCATTTGGATTAAAGTCACTCCTTGCCATTTGTTGGAAGGGCCGGTGTTTATGATTTTTAAAAGCCTAATATCACCTGTGCATCACTGTATTTGGTAGCTTGCCCATGGCTGAAACCAAATACTGAACACTCCCAACTTAAGGACATGGCTTATCCGCCACAGTTTCAGGGGTCCTGGTCCCAGCAACAGGCTCCAAGGCAGAAACCTCATAGAAGAAGGGCATGGACAGGCAAAACTGCACAGTTTGTGGTGACCAGGAAGGACAGAGGGTAACAGCCCACGCAGGTAGGGCCAGGCATCAGACACAGGACCCAAAGTCATGCCTCCATGGCCCACTCACAAGTGTGCTTTACCAGTCCCCTGGATGGCTTCCAGGCCAATCAGCTGAGCTTAACCATCAGAGTCACCAGTAGCTGGTCACTGTGATGGTTTTTTCTAGATTTAAGCAGGGGAAGAAGAGTTGACTTGAGATTGTCTGAGATTTGTACTAATATAGCTTCATGTATCTCAACAGTACTGGTGCTCACACTTCTCAAAGGCCAGCATCTGTTCCAAGAAAAGCTAAGGAGAAGACCCAAACCTCCACCATGTCTTCAAGACTCGGGCCATGTGAGTCTGCAGCACTTCCCAGTGTGCCCCCTCTCCACATCCAGGGACTCCGTAGCACTGCTGCCCTTGGCCACCAGTCCAAGCACACATGCTGACCTCCTGCTTCTTGCTGGGGGAATTTTGCACACTGCCCCACCCAGCAAACTCCACTCTGTGAGTCAGGTTCCAGACTGGGATGACCTCCGTGGAAGAGTCTATTCTCCTCCCATGACCTCCCCCAAGAAAGTGCCTGGCTTATCACCTGTGGATGACCACTCTTCCTTGGCACCCACCACAGCCCCCTCTGACTTCCACCTAGAATTTTCCAGCATTCCAGTAACTAACCGTAATACTGCTCACAAAGAGGATCTGTAAGTTTCAGGAGCTCAAGAAAGCCCGAGGTATGCCAATGCAAGAAACATGTGCTAAGATAATTTTGTAACTATACAGCTTCTCTTAGTGTTAGACATAAATGAATGGTAGACATATATTGGTGTCAGACATAAAAGTGCAGAGTAAAATGTTACAGAACAGATGTAAGCAAATAAAACTCCAAAATAAAAAACAAATACATTAAGAAACGATTACTCTCTAAGGAGTCGTCTGAATAATTACTTCTCAAGAAAAGGAGTGATTCTCACACAAGCTATCTGCAGCCTGCAGGTTGTGCGAAGTTCTGCTCCTCTGTTCATTTCACCCCTGCATCCCAGAGTGTGAATGCCATGCAGACAGTGGGCTTTTGGTGGTGTTGGTTTTGGGGTGCTCAAACCATGGACCTGCATATGCTAAGCATACGCTCTGTCACTAAGGTAGACACGCCCACCCTTGAGATGGTTGTTTTTAACACAGTCACTCATAAATATCTTTTACCCCTACATGGAATTCTCATAGCATCAAACGGAAAGAAAGACAACTTTTGAAGTCTGGCAGTGAAAAGAAATGATTCTGCTACTAATTTTGGAGAGGATATTTCCATCCACGGATCACTAAAAAGAAGACACACAAGTTAGCATTTTGGCAGTTTCCTACTTGTTCTCACACATTCCCCAAACTCACGTGTGAAACACAGCAGTGAGGGAAAGGGAGGCCGCTGTGGTAGGAGCAGCACTCGTGACAGCCCCTGCTGGGGAACCTGGGAATCCGGGGCTCCTCACAGCAAGATGCACCATCGCATGGAGGTCCCAGGCCAACACGCTACCGCTGGCTTGGGAGCAAAGCACCTGCCATAGGAACGAAGTCTTTCTCACTAAAGTAATTCTAAAGTTTAAACTGTCTTTAAGCCTGCGGAAACACTCAGATTCAGGGAAGGCATGTATTTGTTTCTATATTTTTCCAGAAGCAAAAAGTTGCAATGGATTTACCCTCAGAGTTCAAACAGAAGACAAATGTAGAAGCCGGGAAATCTTGAATCCTTTTCTAAGAAACACTAAAAGTACATCTCTTGGATTTGAATAAAAGAACTAAAAATAGCAAACTGTCACTGACATTCATTCCTAATAACAAGGTCAGGGAAAATCAACTGCCCACAATCCTGTCTCCGAAACCTAAGTGCTATGAACACCCATGAGGAGAAGGTGGGGTCAGGACAGTTCTTAGCCACCAAAAGAATTTCACACTGTTCTGTCACAAGCTTTACCTCTTCATTTTAAGGACCACTTCACTACCAACAAGTGCTGCAGTGTAAGAAGTGAACTGTGAGCTTCGGGCCTATAGAAATCCACAGTGAGAACGGAGGCGAGAAGGGGTGCACCAACCATCAGAGTAGAAAATAAAGCAGCTCCTTACCATGTTGATGGATGACACAGGCCCAATGCTGTTAACGTAAATGTCCACGTCAATTACAGTTGGTTTTACTGTGGAGACAGAAACAGGTGTGTTAATACTCTGCCAGACAGACAGAGAGAACGTAGTTCAGGGCCCTACTTAATGACTCACGCACCACACCTGAAATCTTGCTTGGGAGGTAGCGGGAATTTCTCCTGGGATGTCTACACGTGGTGGAAACTGGGCTTGACTTACTTTCAAAATCCCCAAAGGATGAAATATCTTTAATTGCATGAACTTCTAGGAAAATTTATCCAATGCACATTGCTAATGGCAAATGACTCTAAAGATAGTTTGTAACAGTTAAATTTATTTTATGGCAAAAATATGAGAGAAAATATAAACACCGCCTCAATCATTTAATGTCAAATTTTGGCTATAAATCTAAATGTGTGATGAGCAACATCACTGATGTCCCTGAGATGCCTGTCTAGCTATGGTGCCAAATCAAAGCAACTAAAAGCAAGATTCTAGTGAGCTGATGCTCCAAAGGAAAATAAGAAACACTTCTCCTTATTTTTACTATGACTTGAAGACACAAATACACACATACATCACAGAGTTAAAATCCTGTGACTCAGAATGCAGTCCAGTGAGTCAAAAGAGCAATCTCCATCTTTTTGGACACCAGGGATGAGTTTCATGGAAGACAATTTTTCCACAAATGGAGGAGAGGGAGTGTTTTCAGGATGATTCGAGTGCATTGCGTATATTGTGCCCATTATCTGTATTATTATTGCATTTTGGTAAGATTTGTTACTCCTATTCTCACAAGAAATGCAACTGAGATTCCTGGCACACACAGTTCCCAGGAGGGTTCGTGCTCCTATGAGAATCTGTAATGCCACCAGGATCTGACAGGAGTTGGAATTCAGGCTGCTGATGTGCATGCTGGGGAGCAGCTATAAATCCAGGGAAAGGCTTCCTGCTGCAGTCCATAGCCTAGTGGTGGTGAATCCTTCATTTAAGGAATTACTATCTCAAGTACAGGGTATAACACTTACACAGTCAGACGTTGTGCTGGCTGCATTGTGCAGTGTTTGTTAAACAGGCTCACTTATCTTTCAAAGAAATCAGTTTATCCATTTTTGGAAGAAATGATCAGAACTAGCAATCAGGCAGTTCACAAGCCAGAGAGCTGATGCCCTCTGAGAAAAGGACATTCCCTTTATCACCACTCAGGAGCCAACAGAAGAGAGGAAAGAGCCAATGTCAGACTATTTCTGTCGGGGAGGAATATAAACAAAACCGTAAGAGTTTCTATGCAAACGAGAGTTGCATCTGCAGTCATTTCAAGGGAGCCACCTTCAGCTTTGCTAAATGACTGACCATTCACAAATGGACTCCACCCTCTTCGTGTGGAACTATGAATTGTGCTCTAAGCACTCCATCCCCTTGAAAATTGTGTATTCAGTCACCTAAAACCTAAGCAATGACTTTGACTTGAATCAACTCCCCTAACCTGTGTCAGAACAGCTAAGTCATGTGAGCTTCAAAGAGCTGTTGCACTTTGGAAAAGACCCGAACACAATTCTACACACTATACGCATAGTACCTGAATCTCCTAAGAGCAGTATTCCTTTTAGACTAAGCTTTACTAACATCTATGACACTTCAGCTCATTCTTTAGCATCATTTTTTAGCTTCACTGGATTTAACAACATGTTCTGCCTCCAGACACTGCAAAACCTGTGATTATGCCACACAGAAGGCTTTGTAAAGCCAGCCACTTAGGCACCTACTTTTCCAAGGAACTTTTCAGGATGTTCTGCAGGATATATTAGACTTTTGGCAGCTAGAGCTCTTAAATCTCATTAAATTAAAAGAACATACAAAAAGAAAGCTTTAACTACCTGAAGTGGAAAGTACAAAATGCATTGAAACAAAAAGAGCTTAAGAGTTAGAAGTTTAGAATACACACAATCACACACACAATCACACACACACACACACACACACACACACACACAGGAACAAAGGATTCTTTTTTATTTTATTTTATTTTTTTTTTGCAGAACCAGGGATTGAACTCTCAACCATGTGTTTGCCAGGTAGGCACTTATGCCACTGAGCTAAATCCCTGGCCTGCCAGGGAACAAAGGAAAATTAACCTTTTTGGTAGATTCTCTTTTAGGTGAATTATGTTAATGTCAATGAAGCACTCGGCAAATGATCTTACAGTGGTGCCTGGGAGGGAGAAGGGTCATAAGATCACAGCTTATAATGCAAAGATTCAATATTCAGCCCTAACAAAGTCTTTCCTGTATAAAAGAGCCCACAAAAACTCCATCACTGATTTTCTTCAAATGCCATATTTCCAGAAAAAGATAACAAGACATACAAAGAAACATGGTGTAATCAAGTGAATAAACTGAACGTCCTAAGCTGGTTCTAAAGAAACGGGGGTATGTAAGTTACAAGGAAAAATATCCAAAATAACTGCGATAAGGATCATCAGTTACCATTTAGAAAAGCACAGAAAAGCAAATGAAATCAGGAAAATCACAGTATCAGAAAAGACGCAAGAACTAAGAATCAAAAGCAAAGAGAAATACTGGAGCTGCAAAATACAATAACAAAGTGGAGAGATTCACCAGAAGTTGATTGAACCAGGCAGAAGAAAGAATCAGCAAATTCAAAGACAGCACTTTGAAATTACCAATATAAGGTGCTAAAAGATAGAATGAAAAGAGTGACAGCAGCCTAAGGGACCTACAGGACAGTGTCAGGATGAACAGCACATCACAGGGCACTGCGGAAGAGGAAGAAAAGGAGGAAGCTAGCAGGAGCTTAGGTGAGGACCGGGCTGAAAACTTACTTACATGAGCCCAGAAATGGGCATGCTCAGTCTTTGGAAGATTAAAAAGCTGTGAATAAGGCCCACCTAAAGAAACCTAAAGAGACATGTCATAAAGAAAGTGTAAAAAGTCATAAAGAGAAGCTTGAAAGATGAAAGAAAAAATGATCCACTGTGTACCAAGGGTACCTTTCAGCTTGTCAGTGAATTGCGGAGCAGAAACTGTGGCTGAAACAGTTGACACACAGCTCGATGATATATTCAAAGTACTGAAAGACAACATCCTGATCCAGTGCACTAAGACAGAGGTGCTAAGGCACACGTCCTTGGGTTTTCTGTTTGTTTTTTGTACCAGGAATCAAATTCACAATCTCACACTTTCCAGGAAGGCACTGTGTTACTGAGCTATATTCCCACCCCTGACTGAGTACATTGTAACCAGTAAGATCTGTCCTTCAAAAATTAAGAGCTACTCACAGGTAAACAAATCTTAATGGACTTCACCACTAAGGACACTAGACCCATACACTGAAAAGAATCCTTCAAACAGAAGCAGCATGACACTGAACAGCAGTAAGAGACCAAATAAAGACACAAAACTCCTTCAAGGTTAGTACATAGATAAATGTTGAGTATCACAGGGCTGTAATACAGGTATACAAATCACCTTTAAAGTAAGTATAAAATTTTAAGAAACAAAAGCACAAAAAATACCTATTAAACTATGTTGACAAACAGATCATTTACATTATAAATAGCATAAAATGTAGGGAACACTTTTATATGAATTGAGCTATTATATGCAACTGAATTCAAGATATTGTCAGTTTAATCAGAAGGCTTGCCTCCTGTGGGCAGCCAGGTGAGCAGGGAGAAACAGCCAGATGAGCCCCTGCATGCCTGCTACTATCTGGATGCTTATTTCCCTCAGATAAACAACTGGGCAGGGAGGAACAGCCAGATGCTCTCCTGTGCCTACACTGCCATCAGGAGGCTTGCTTCCGTCAAGTAACTAGCATGGATGGGGAGAAACAGACAGATATGCCCTGTGCACCCACAGGCCATCAGACGCACTTGCTTCCCCCACACAACCAGCTTGGGTTGGGAGAACCATGCAGACACACCCCTGTGTGCCTGCCACTACGGGGAGGCCCTCATGTACACACACAGGTTGACAGAAGAAGCAGCCCCACATCACACACCCATGGCCATCAGGGAAGCCTCAGTGTAGGCATGCAGCTCTGGGGAGTCTTGTCCCAGGGCCCACTGCCTCCCTGGGAACCTGGATTCAGAGAAACCCAGGTGCCTGGCCCATTGCCATACACTGCAGAGGGGAGCCAGTGTGGGAAGTGCCTTAGAACTGATGTGTTGAGTCAAGTCAAAGGAGCAAAAGGCAATGTCAGATCTCAGCCCAAACAGAACAAGGCTGGGAAACAGCAACATGGAAGAAAATGGAAGTCACACACCTCAGATCTCTGAAAGGACAGCAGCTAAAGTGAAGAAACAACTTCATGAGACTTAAAAGAAATCAAGTCAGAAATACCTCAGGTAAAAGCAGAATTGACAAACATAATAAAAGAATTGCTTGAGCATATCTAACAAAGACACAGATTTAAAAAAAAAAGAAGAGCACAGGAAAATGATGGAAACCTTCAATGAACAACACAGGAAAGAATTACAATGCATGAAACAGATTCAAAAAGATATCCAGGAAATTAAAAACTCCATTGAAAGCTGACAAAATCACTTGAAAGAGACTGAAGATAGACTTTCAGACCTTACAGACAGGATAGCAGCTAGAAGTCCTGAAAGGAAAGATCTCTTAAAAATAACAAGGAACCAGGAAATAATTCAACAGCTACAAGATGACACAAAGAAAAATAATTTAAGACTAATAGGTGTCAGCAAGAAAACAAGAGTCAAAAAAATAAAAATTTTTTAAAAATTAAAAAAAAAATTAAAAAGGGGGCTGGGGATTTAGCTCAGCGGCATAAGCACCTGTCTTGTAAGCAGGCAGTCGCAAGTTCCATCCCTGGTACCGATTTAAAAAAAAAAATCGAAAGCAGAAGTCAAAACAAACGACATAGAGACTATTTACAGAAGTAATAACAGAGAAATTCCCAGGCATGGGAAAATGACCTTACATGCAGATAAGTGTGCCATACAAAACTTCAACACTTCAACTAGCCAATATTACATGCAACAGGAAACCATAAAAAAAGCAGGCATAAC